TATTCTATTCTATTCTATTCTATTCTATTCTATTCTATTCTATTCTAAAGAATTTGCTTTAGAATCTTCCTAGGGATAAATGTCAGACTGACCATAAAGATTTGCTGGATGTTCCTTTCTCCACTTTTTGAAGATAGAACATTTGCCAATCACCTGGAATTTCAGTATTCTAGGATTTTTTCAAACGAAATATATTGAGCTCAACTGTTAGTTCCTTCGGTCCCTAGAGTTGGAGAGTTGAACATTCAAAGAAAAGAGATATTCTTTCAATCTTTCTTTCAAAAAAGTTTCTCTCAATCTTAAGTTTCACCTGCTATGTCATAATTTCTTGGTGGAACATACAGTCTGTTTTTGAAGACTGTTTTTGGACATAGAATGAATTTAAATACAGTATATTAGGAGGATTAGCTCTGCTGTTTTTGTGTTACCTATTAGCAGTTTGTCTTGAGCATCTGGTATTCACATTTTTCATCTTTATTTGCTTTCATAAAACTGGGGGGAAAAAAACCCTTTTTGGTTATTTTTAGCATCCTTTACTAACTTCAGCTCTTTATTTTAAATTTACTCATATCAGCTGATCAGTTGTCTGACTGACCACCTGTCTGACCCTTCTTTTCTGCATGTGTCCTTTTTTAAATTGCAGGTCTTCTATAAGATTTGTGTGTGTGTGTGTTGGATTCTTTTGCTGTCTTCAATTTTTTTCCTTGATGGAATTCTTTGCAATTAGGATTTTAGTATCTTCCTCATTTAAGAACTCTCCTCTTTCTTGAGTTCCATTCCCTTTTACTCTTTCTTGGCTCCTACTAATCATTGTTCTGAACTTATTAAAATTCACTTTTATGAAAGCCACAATATATCTTTGACTACATTGTTTTAAGGTGATTGCTCAGTGGTTAAAGACACTGAACTTGTCAACCAAAAAGCTGACAGCCTAGGTTTCAGACCCAGGCCCTGTGCAATAAGGTGAGCTCCTGTTACTTGCCCCAACTCCTGCCCACCTAGCAGTTTGAAAGCAAGTAGATAACTAGGTACCACTTTGGTGAGAAGGTAACAGCATTCCGTGTGTCTTGGCAGATCGTCGTGCTTGCTGGCCACTTGACCATGGAAAAATGGATCCACCCCTCAGAAGCTCCATTTCAGTGGCAATGTGCCAGGCAAGATCTCTGGATGCCCAAATGGAGCTTCTGAGGGGATCTGCCCCTCTAAAGCTCTATTTCGGCCAGCAATGTGCAGGACGAATATTGCAGAGCTTCTGTGGTTTTTTTTTGTAAGGGTGAACAACTGCCATGGTTCTGCAAGATTCATAGTTTCAGGATTTGTTTGTAAATGCCAGGGAGCGCTTATCACGTAACTTCAAATGTTCGCTATGGGAACGCTCGTAGCCAGGGGATTACATGTATAATTATGATTTTATTCACTTAAAAATTGATAATTCATGTCAAAGACAAAATTGTAAGCAGAGTTTGTTTAACTGGATAGTGTTTACATTCTCTAAATGTTTATATAGTTGTCCATAATTACAGAAAATTTTAAAAACACTGGAGTAGACAGTTGGAGAAGAATAACAAGGTCTTTAGTTTAAACCCATTCTTAGAGTTTCAAAGTCTATGGCGACAGAGTTGTAATTCATTTTAGTATCCCTTTCCTTACATGTATCACCAATAGAGCATAATCATCACTGGACTTTTAAAATTATTCTGACATAACGTTGCAGATAAGCATACAGTACTTCACAAGCTGATAGGCACAGTTGCTATAGGATTGTTTTAATTCATTACACTAATGAGTTGCCAAATTCTATAACTCTTCTCTTGATACCAATAAAGGAGAATATTTGTAGCTCAGGTTGAAATGAGGTGCTCTCTGAGCTTGCCTGTCTTCTTGCAGACTTTTCATTACCCTATCTAGGTAAAATCATCAGTGCTGGAATGAAACATCTGCAAGAAAACAAGTAAGCTCAGCCAGCACCAAGGATCCCTCTTTTATTTGTCTTTAAGATGCATTGTTGATTATTATTATTTCTTTTATTCATTAAACATGGAACTCAGTCAACTGAACATTTAAAAATGTATCACAAATACCAGTGACTGGTGCTAATGGTTGATATAGGTTGCTGCCAACATCCTAGGTATCAACCAAGTATCTTCTTAAAATATATGATGTTCTGAGTAGCGCAGTTTTTTGCAGTTCCACTGGTGTTATTGCAGAAAGCTGCTATTTCTTGATATTGTTTTGTAGAATTCTTGGACATGGTACCAAGTGCCCCGATGACAATGGGTATCACTGGTACATGTTTCATCCATAAAAGTGTAGTTTCGATGGCCAGGTCACGATATTTTGTGATTTTTTTTCAGTTCTTTTTCTTCGACTCTGGCATCTCCTGGTACAGCGATATCAATGAATTTTATACTTTGGCCTTGACAATGGTAATATCTGGTGTGTTGTGTTCCAAACGGCGATCTATCTGTATTTGAAAGTCCCACAAGATCTTCACCATCTCATTCTCGACAACTTTTCCACTTTATGTTCCCATGACCTTTTGGTTATTATTATTTGGATTATTATATTATTATGTTATTATTTTATTATTATTATTTTATATTAATAATAATAATAGTCCCATATTCTGCTGTATCTTCCCTTAAAAATGTGGAATATCTGATATTTGCAATGATCTGAAAACAATTTCTGAGTTTCAGTGGTGCAAACTATCCTCTATGTTTTTGATTTTGGTCACTAGACACCTCCACAGCTCTTGTTCCTCTATTTCTGTGTCTTCATAATGGAGGATCACCTCCACTGTCTGCAAGCCATTTTTCTTTGAATAGATAAGCCCTTGTGCTTTCTCATCAATTGAAATTTGGCATCACTGGTTCAATCCTTTGACTTTTTCTGTTATGAGCTTTCAATTGCTGCAAATATATCCTAGTTGATTTCAGACAGAGACATGCCATAAGCCATGTAGATATTAACTCCCTGTTCTTGTACTTTTATCTTCTTTTAATCATTGATGAAAATTTAATTTTAGTGGCAATTCAATATATAATTATTAAGACATGAACACAGCTGAGTAAACTCACATATGTGAATTAATATGGCACTGTTAATAAACTTAAATCCTCCTTTTAAATTCCTCGAATAAGAAATAAACAAAATAATAAGTACAGTGAAACTTCATTTTAGTCGTGGATCTCAATGTAATGGATTTTTTATGCAACGGAGCAAATTTCTGTGGCAATTTACATCATTTC